GGGTCGAACCTTTGGACACACACGGTCCTGCCTGACGGGTCGAACCTCACCTCAACCCAAACTGAGCTCAGTTTCAACACTTTACCTTAAAAACTGACCAGTTCCAGCCACCAGAGCTTGCTTTTCTGTCCCAGTTCAGGTGGTTTCTGGTCTGTGTGAGGATAAATCCTCCACGCATGCCGAATGGTTAACAACGTAGAAAATAACACTTTTGTGTTTAAAAGCCTCACAGTGTCCTCACCGCCGACTTGTGGTCTCCATCGTTAGTTTCAGTGGACATGGCAACAAGAAATGTCTCTGTGGACGGTTTACAGCTGCACGGTGGTGGACACCAACTGCTCCGTGGTGGGCACCAGCTGGACACCAGCTGCACAGTGATGGACACCAGCTGCACGGTGGTGGACACCAGCTGCACTGTGATGGACACCAGCTGCTCCGTGGTGGACACCAGCTGCACGGTGGTGGACACCAGCTGCACGGTGGTGGACACCAGCTGCACCAGAGCTACAGTCCCTGTTCCAGCACGAGACGCTCAGCAGCTGGATTTACAGACTGTTGATCTGTTGTTCAATGTTTGCTTCAGGTTTTTTCTTCATCAAACAGAAGGTTACAGTTTACGAAACATGCACGGCATGAACTTATCCACGTGCAGCGTTACATTCTGAAGGTTATTGTTTTATTCCTCTAGTTTCACCGTTTATGTAGAAAAACAGATCAAGCATCTCCTGAAGTCAGGTGTGTGCTCCGGGCGGTCTGTTTGAACCTGTCGAACTGTTTGGCACAGCTGAAGGAGAATTATGGTTCGTAACTGATAAGATGTTGCTTGAACTCACTGAAATGAACGTTCGTGACACGTTTTTCTCACAAACGAGACAAACAACCTCTCTCTCTCACCTAGGGGCAGGTTTCTCAAACCCACTTACAAAAGGGCCCAAAACAAAAACCTTTTTCAAACCAAGGGCCAGTTTCAGAATCTACATTACCTCAAGTTAGATACTCAACATCTTTTCTTGGTGCAGGTTCCTCAACAAGAACTTGATTGGTCTCATTTTACACCATTTTAACTCAAAAATACAGTTTTGAATCTACCAAAATAAAATGAGTGTGCGAAGTTAACAAAGTTCATGCTCAATCATCCAGGTATCAAATCCAATCATTCTCAGTCAGGTCATCTGGACAGTTTCTTAAATACATTTTATAGCTTAAAAGTTCATTTATTTTGACAGTGACCGAGTTGCAAAGTAAAATTCTGTGTTTTTCCTTCAAGTTTGTCAGATGCTGAACTATGAATAAAATATTTTTATGTTAAAAAACACAATAAATGGTCATCTTCTCTTTATTTATTTGTTATTTACATATTTGCTCACTAATTTAATTTTTCACATTCTTCCAGACTTCAGTTGTTTTTAAGCTTTCAGGGATTTGTCAGAAAATATGTTCTATTTACAAAGAAGCAGCCCTGGAGCGAGGTCAGCCCCCGACCCACTGCTCCACCTGACCCACTGCTCCACCCGACCCACTGCTCCACCCGACCCACTGCTCCCCCCGACCCACTGC